CACTCAATATCTTCCTCTTTGACCACAAATCTTATTCAAATTTGCATTTGAATTTAATGTGACAGGTTGTGCCAAGTCTGACATTATTTATCAAGTTTGGTTCTCATAAAACTGGCTTGGCACGTCTTGACACAGCATATTTAAACTGAATGAGATATGAGAACCACAGGTGATGATTTTCAGTGAATAACAATTCAATAATTAATAGTTGTAAATGTAAATTCTGTCATTTACTCTCTCTCATTCCAAACCAGTATGACTTTGTGAAACAAAATGTGTTCATTATTATTATTATTATTATTATTATTGTTGTTGTTGAAAATTAGTTTTAAATGAGTTTTATCTTTGTCATTTTTACTTGCTTAGACGACAACTTAAAGTGATAGTTCACCCAAAAATTTAATTCTGTGAGGACTTACCCTCATGTTGATCCAGATCCATACACGTTGTCCATACACAATTAGACCGCTTTAGTTTTCAAAAGAAAGTCAAACGAGTTTGGAAGTGTGTGTGTGTGTGTGTGTGTGTGTGTGAGAGAGAGAACTATCCCTTATATAGAATTTCATGACAGCCAGCACAAAGCACTCTTGTGTCTGTCCGTTTTTCTGTCTCTCTCATCCACACAGTGCACTTGAGATATTTCCCATGTGTGAGCGATGGGAGGCCTATTTATACACTCAGCACTGAGGCAGGTAGTGTGAAATGGGGACATTGGAGCGCCCCCTCCGAGGGCAGACGGCTCTCGTAGCATATTCCTGGTTTAGCACCATTGACGAAGCTCTTTTCCAACCGAGTCCTCAAAAGTCAGTGATTCTCTGATTATCCTTCTGTCTTTCCTTGCCAATCATGGAATGTGGGCAAATAAGACCATATTCACAGATCTGTGTACTTCAAAAACAACTGTACACTGTAGAACCGTCTATCTAAAAGGAATAAGGATGTGAATGATTTCAGAGTAAAACGTTCATTTTGGTGACATTTGTCATTAGAATTGTGGTGATGATAAATGAAGTTAAAAGTGCATTTATTGCCTGTCATTCTGAATCATATCTGGTCCACAAACCAAAAACACAAAGCCTAGAAAGCTGTTATATTCCAGCATTGCTCGAGCCAGGGATTTTGGAAGCTCAGTGAAGACACAAGCCTCACGATTAAGGGGACGATGATGATGATGATGATGATGATGGTCAGTGAGGCCACACAGAAGCAGAGAAGTGCCGTCATCGGCCCAACTCCGTGTCTATGATCGCTGAGCTTCAGTCCATGATGAACTGCACGAATGTGACAGGAAACGCTCCTCTTCTCATTGGCTCTCCCTCAATGTGGCCCAGCTACAAAACAATCAGGAGAAAGTATGTTAGAAATATTCCTAAAACTGTCAGCGCCGATAGCCGTTGTACAACGAGTGTCCCGAGTTCGAAACCCAACTCAACCCCACCCCCCCTCTCTCTCCCACTTTACTTAATAACGGCAAAAATAAAATCTTTAAAAAAACATTTTCCTCAATTTGCATATAGTGGTGTGAAAACATGCACTGAATTTAACTGAATTAAACACATTTACCATCTCTATTCAATTTCAATGCAATCTCTTATTCAAGCTAATCTTGTTGCTAAGCTAAAGGTATGTTTCTTAGTGGAAGCTTAGTCTCTGTAAAATAAAACTCAACTCAAATATATTTATCAACATTTGTCAAAAATATGAAATCAGGACCAGCGCCGATAGCCTTGTGGGCAAGCGTGCCATTGCGTTACGGCATCCTGAGTTCGAATCCCGGCTTGAGGACCTTTCATGATCCAGCTTGAGGACCCCCTCTCTCTCTCCCACTTCGTTTCCTGTCATCCCTACACTGTCCTATCATAATTAAGGCAAAAAAAAAAAACAACAGTATTCTTAACAACTGTCAAAAAACAGAAATGGAAATGCAGCTTGAACCCACTGAAGTATGTAAATAGCACAGAAGTCACACAGGAACACAGAGATTTGGGGATTTGGCTGTACCGCCGATGAGCCTCTGTGGAGAATGAATGACTAAACACGGCCAGTGGAAATGAAGGCAATTTGGTTGGAAAACAAGCAGCTGGTCTGTAGTCAGCCAGAGACACTGAACCCTCAACTGAGTTTACTCATTAACAACCAGCCAGTCACAAGAAGGGCAATATGGTCAACTAACTTTTCCTCTCTGGTTTCCTCGCTCTTAAAGGGTTAGTTCACCCAAAAATGAAAATTAGCCTGTGTTTTACTCACCCTCAAAGCATCCTAGGTGTATGTGACTTTCTTCTTTCAGACGAATTCAATCGGAATTATATTAAAGGGGTCCTATTATGCTCTTTTACAAAGTCATGATTTTGTTTTGGGGGTGTACTAGAACTCTCATACTCTCATACTAGGTTGTTCGAAAAACACAATATTTTTCACATATTTTACATTATTACAACACCTCTCTCCCCAGTCTGGCATGAACGGCTCCAAGAGTTTCAAAATCAAATGAAGGCCCACCGTCTGAAATACGAAGTGTGCTGTGATTGGTTAGCTGGGCCAGTGTGTGTTGTGATTGGCAGCACTCGGCACCTGGTCGGGAAATGTCATGCCCCTTACCATAGCCGCCTGCCAGCTTCAGTGTAAATACTGCATCAAAATCAAATCAATTTCAGCGCGATTTAAACCCGGATGATTGTAGGCACTCTTCAGTTCGTTTGTCTTGGGAAAGCTAGCGTGTCTCCGACATAGTGATAACACTCGTTGCCTTCTCTAGTGCAGCTCAAC